TGACATAATAGTTGGTTTGTAAGAATGCTGAAACTGTCAGTCAGGCATTGTGCTGTTCTTCTGCCGTATGGTGGGCAGTGGGTCAATTCCTTGGGTATTCCCTGTTCTTTCTGGAAGGAATCACTTGTTCACTGTTTCCAAGGCCCCTCATTCAAGGCCCTAGTAGTTTCTTCCTTTTATCTGTGGCCACATCTAAAATAAACATTTAGGAACATGCCTGCTTTGGGGGCTGTATACATTTTCTAGCCAGTTTCCAACTGGTACAAGTTTAGCGACTCAAGCGTTTTTATTAAGGCTCAAACAGTCTAAGGCTCATGGGTTCTTTGGGAATGTAATTCCCTTAGAAACTTAGGCTTTTGCATTACCTGCTTCCCATCAGTTCTGTGTGCCAATAACCATATTAAAAGTTTCCTGCCTCCAGCCTGAGTTGTTTCTTAGTTTCCTGGCCCATGGCTTCTCTTTTTCAGCTTAACTGATGCTTTTTTGAGACTATAAAAAGCAGCTTTGACCTTATATGCTCTTTGACCTAAGACAGCATCATCACTGAACTTTTATTGCTCCAAGTCTCTTTCAGCTTCATATTTTACTGTTTAGGGTCTCGCCTCTGTCTCTCCTAGGCCCCTTATATTCTGTTTGCAACCAGGAAATTCTTTCCTGAGCTCATCATTTGTATAGCGTATGACTGAAGGCTGGGGGTTCTACCCTCTTCCTGCTCTGGTACCCTGGTTTCCCTGCTACGGATCTACTCAGCAGCAGGGGGCATCACTGATTATGCCATTTCAGTATTAGGAGAAAATGAGTTCCGTTTTTAGCAACTGTTCTTAATGCCATTTGTATTCCAGAACAGTTAGTTTTGCTAATTTGTCAGAATGTGGACAAGGTTCAATAAAATCCAAAGATAAATATAAACACATGAACTCTGTGGTCTGGATAAATAGCAATGAAGAACAGTTTTTTTTGCCAGAGTGCTCATTGAATAAAATCGTTTAACACTATGAACGTTAAAAACAACTCAACCAAATGACAGGATTTTGTTGGATTTTGCTATGGTAAAAGCTATTTTGATTAAAAGATAATTAGGCTGGGTGCAGTGGTTTACCTCTGTAATCCCAGCACTTTGGGTGGCCAAGGTGGGCGGGCCTCTTGATGTAAGGATGAGACCAGCCTGGCCAACATGGTGAAACCCCATCTCTATTAAAATTACAAAAATTAGCCAGGCATGGTGGCGGGTGCCTATAATCCCAGCTACTTGGAAGGAGTTCCAGACCAGCCTTGCTAAGCTGGTGAAACCCCGTCTCTACTAAAAATACAAAAAATTATCCAGGCGCTGTGGCAGGTGCTTGTAATTCCAGCTACTGGAAAGGCTAAGGCAGGAAAATTGTTTGAACCCAAGAGGCAGAAGTTGCAGTGAGTCAAGATCATGCCAGTGCACTCCAGCCCAGCCAACAGGATGGAGGAGAAATCCAAATGAGCAGCTTCCACATGATGATGATGATGAAGGAAGGAAAGAAAGAGGGAGTGGGAAAAAGAAGGAAGAAAAGAAGAATGAAAAGGAGGCTGAGGAGGAGAAAGGAACATAAGGAAAAGAAGATTATGTCTTATCATGATGATCAGTAATCATTTGCCAATTGGCCCAATTTAGTTTTTCATCAGCCAATAATCCACATGAACATATAGGAATCCAAGTACCTACAAAACTTCAGATTCTGCAGTGACAAAGAATCTCACTTAAGATAATGGTAGCTGTTATGATGGGATACCAGAAAAGGATTTTTTTTTTCACTTTTCTCTAATTTTTATTATTTAGGTTTCATCAGATTCTACCAGAGTAGAGGAGTAGGCATTCAAACTTTAGGTCATCTGTCTCCATGTTTCTGAAGCCTTTATTATATGATGTATTGTGGAGCTTAGGCAAGACACTGCACAAGAATGCAGAATGCCTGGCACATAGTAAGCACTCAAATGTGGCTTTCTCTCCATCCCTGGATCCCTTACTGAGACTATATAACTCTACATTCCCTGCTGTGCACAAAGAGTAAGTACATTTTCTTTTCAATCCCAAGGAAAAGTGTCAGCATAAATTTATTTGAACCTCAGTGGGGGCAAGGAGTAGGATGACTGTGAATTCTGATAGTTTTAATTTGACATATATTTTGATAAATCACTATATTATCTAAAAGCAAAATAGTGATATGATTTCTTTATAAGAAGGGTTTCTTATTTCTCAATCATATGTCTGTTATTTTCTTTAGTTTATAAAATGATAAACACAAAATAAAATAGCTAGTATAAATTGATTTTTTAATAAGAAGGGTCATATTCCTTCTAAACTTAAGTAAATAGGGAATTTTAGTGAAGGAGTCCCAGGTTTTAATTCTTTCCCTACTGCTCATTAATTACATAACTTTGGCCAGTTATTTGACATTCTCCAGCTTCAGTTTTTCATTTGTAAAATGCAGATAATATTTGCTTGCAGAGATGCTGTGAGAATTAAATGAGGTGAGGTATGAATTAAATAATACATAGTAAGGACCCAGGAAAGTAAGCACTTCCTCCTGCCCATGGTTGAAAGCACAAATGTTGACTTAATATCCTTTTTATGATTAAATAATAAAATCATATAGGTAATATTAAGATACAACTGTGGTAATTTCTTATTAAGCATTTTAAATAAAGATGTACTAAATTGTGCCCTCTCTGGAGATCATTAGCATTTTTTCTTCCCCCCAGTATAAATATATTAAATTGGTCAAGTGATCATTAGAGAAGAAAAGGATATTTATGTTCATTGATATATACTCTGTTTGAACAAAACAAAGACCGTAGAAATTATGGTAGTCGTCAGTGTCATTTGCCAAGCAGTCTCAATTCTCCTTATGTCAGGGCTCATGATGGAACTGCATTTCCTGGCCTGAGTGGGATTATATGACTAGTCCTGACTAAATTCGTGTTAACCGGGTGCAGAGTCTGAGACCTTTCAGACTTTTTTCCCCTCTAGCTTGGCAATCAGGGACATGTAAAAAGGTGGCTGCATCAGACTGAGTCCTTTGCTTGCTGACCTGCAAGGGTCATAGAGCGAGAGGCTGTGGAATTGTCATAACAGTATCACTTAGCTCATTCTGAATGATCAGAGGTGGTTAACAAAACCCAAAAGAACTTCTAGCAAAAAATAGATATCTAAAGAAGTAGACTTTCTTCCTATAAAGGATTAGATAAGCCTCACTTCCAATTGTCTCTTTAGAGTTTTTGACCTTGACACTTATATATAAGGATAAAATTCCAGTTAATAATATAAATTGTGATACATTCTGTGAATGAAAATGGAGATCAAAATTAGATTACTAGAAGATTAAGAGTAGGGGTATAAGTTAATTTGATATTTCTTTCTCACCTAAAAGCTTTCTAGACACTCAGATAAGTATTTTATAAAAATATCCATTCGTGTATTTTTTCCATATCATAAAACATATACTCTAAGTTCAATGCTGAGTGATTTAGAGAAACCCAAATAACTTGGACTACTTCCTATAAAACAACAAAAAATAAGGCACAGTCTACATTATATAGTGATATGGTAGCAAGAAGAATGACAAACCTGAATTAGGGGTAAATATTCATTTTAATTTTTTGGACAAATAATTTCAAATATAATTTAAAAAGACCAAATCAGCATTACAGATTCCAATTTAAATAAAAGTTAAATGCAATAAAGCATTTTAGTAGTTTTATTTTAAAATGGTATGACACACTTGCTATTAACATATAAGGCATTAAATGCCCTAAGAAAGAACTCATAACCTTAATAATTGCCCTTGAAAATATCAAAAAGGACATAATCAATGTCAAATTATTTTTTTTTTGGCAAGAAAAATAAAATTAAAAGCACAATGAGAACCACAGGGCACAAACTCTAAATACACAATATAAAATAACTCATCTTTCTTACATGACATTTGTTTAGAGCTTGGCTAGGAAGCCTGAAGATGGCAGTGGAAAAATAGGCAGAGCTGTTCCTGAACCACAGGAGAGTTATCCAAACTTGAAACAAAGATATATGCTCCCTATAGTTCCCTGAAATAACATAGAAAATCATGGTAAAATAATTTATAAATGTGTCACACTCTTATGAGTCTGAAAGAGAAGTTAAAAAATAAACCAACAAACATTTGTAGGAGGCTGAACGACCAAAACAGGTTTATAATAATTATGGCATCACATTCTGAGGCTGATTCCAAATTCTTCATTCATGACCTGTGAAAGACTTTTCTTAATGTCAACAGTAAGGCATGCCAAATTCCTATAATAAAACTGTTCTAACAATAGCTTTGGATGTTAAAGCTGTATATCTATAAAATATAGTCCGAATGCACAGACTTGAGTGCAATAAATCTTCACACAAACATAAACCACAAATACACTCTTAAGTGTAAGCCACAGATTTTTGAAATCAGCTTTATGTGTTTAAAATAACATCTTGCTTTTTACAGTGTCAATTCACTAGGCAAATTATTTCCCAAGACTTATAAAAGTTGGAAGAAGATATAGAATATTATGAATCATAAAATGATATAGCTGAAAATCAGCCGAAAGACAAAGATATGTTAATTCTCTTTACTGGGAACTCTTTTTACACTAGAAAAGCCAGTGAGACTTCATTATAATCTTCTCATCATAGTCATTCTTTATGTCCAATTCTGGGAAAGGTTAAACCCATTACAGAGAACAGTAAGTACTGGTAGTATTACATCTTGCTATAATAGGTGAACTATTGGTAAAGGTTGTGAATCTTTCTTGTCAGACCACATTTTTGTGGTGACATTAATTGCTGCAATGAAATGTGATCTTCAGGTTGAAAATCATTCTCTTAAGAGATGTATACATAGAGCACTTTTAAAAAATATTTAGACGATTAATCCAAGTAAAGTTTTACATGCACCTACCATTGCACATGAGAAAGATGAAGACCAAAATGTTCACATGCTTCTGCCTAGAAGTTTTGCTTGTTGGAAAGATGTAAAAAACAAAAATAAGTAGAGCCATTTGGGTTCAGACCTTTAATTCTTGATATTTAACTAGCATCGTGCTCAGTCACTTATTTAACCTTATCCTGGGGGACTGAGGTAAAGGCACACATAAGTTTGGTAGTGCAGTCTCTTTTCAGAAGCTGTACCTTAAAGGACATGTGCCAGCACTGGTCCAATTGGGTCTCTATAACAAATAAAGATGAGGGAGATGGACTCATATTTTAAGCAGACAGCAAAGCATGTGATACCAAGACAAGTGTCTTGATAGTACAGAATCAAGGGTTATAGCAGTCATGTGGGTAAAAGCACCCATGGCCCCCAAGAGCTTGATTCCAAGCAGTCTTGTCTTCCTCTAAACTATAAATCAGCTACGCAGTGGGGAGCATGAAGAAAAGCTGTTCTTTATATGAGGGGCCAGTACATCATATTACGTGATCTACTTTAATAGCTCCCAGTGGGTGGAAAAGACACACAGCATTGCAAAGAAAACTCTTTGCAAACTCTGTAACAGTTTAAGATGCCCTTTAAAGGATTGTCTTATTAAAGATATTAGGAGCCTTAAATCACCCATCAGCAGTGTGTAGATCCAAGTAATAAAGGAGAAAGGCAGCTTTCTTTCTGTAACTCACCCCATTGGACCACACTGCTGAAAGATGAGCTGTCTTCTCATTGAGATTAGGAAGATGACTCTGAGTTTGGATTTCTAAAACCATGTAAATAAGCTAAAGACCCAGAACCACTGAAAATGTTTTTCTTCTCTAGGTCTAGCAATAAAAACTTTTATAGATAACAACCAGCACCACATTGAAGAGACAAATGTAAGGTCATAAATCCCCATGAAGAATGCAAGACCAATACCATAGCTATTGTATGGCCAATGCCTATAGAATGTATCACCTGGTCTTGCCAAAGTACCTCTAGAGCCAAAAACACTCCTCATCAGATTGGAAACAACAGTAAATAAAACACATGGCTTTTCTTTGCCTGTGTTACCATCATTTTAAATTCAAGTAATCTTCATCTTGAATTCAGGCACTGCCAGGATGGATAAGGGCTACATAAACCAAATACCCAGGGAAAAGTCGATTAAGGCAAGCATCTGAATAGTGTCACCACAGCCCAAAAGGAGTCATCCAGGTGATTTTCTAAATCATATAATGTGTAGTGGTTTGCCCTCAGATAAGTAGAATCTTAAAAGATATGTGCTCTCTATATAAGCAGATTTAAATAATGTTGAAATATGCATTCACTTACATTTCAATTTTAAATTTTAAAGAAAATTATAGAGTTCTAGAAAAAAAGGAAATATATTTTGACTTGTTAGGTCTTTTTCTTCCCCCTTGAATTTTTTTTTTTCCCCAAAATGGTATTTTTCGAAATGTTGCCTCTAGATCACCTCTACATTATTTGGTAGCTCTGCAAGATTCATTAAATGCTTCTGCATGAAAACCTTTATCATCAGTTGAAAACGCTTCCTAACACTTGATTCCCAAACTCCTCTTCCTTCATAAACTGAAAGTCGGCTCCACATTAATTCAATTTAGTCTGCCATTTGGCTAATTAATCCTGTTTTGTCAATAAATAAAAACAAAACTCAGTTGATCTCACTTAGCTTCTATGAATAAACATGTAATTTTTTAAATGTCTTCTTTTTTTAACATACAGCTTAGATCTACTCACTCAGCACAGCAGTAGGTTGTTTCCTTCTTGTCTCCACATCATCCAAAGTAGATCCTTAAGCAGGCTGGAGCTGGACTTAGAAACCTTCAGAATATAAAACTTATGCCACTGGTAAGGCAGCCTCAACAAAAGTAATGAAATGAGAGTCACAGTAAAACAAAGTTTGTTCAAAAAGCACAAAGAAACAGCAATGGAAAAGAAAAGTCATATTTATGTCATCTCAATTCTTTTTGGCCATCAGTACTGCTCTGTAGCATAAGGCAATTAACTACCTCTAGCTTCCTCTGATGCCCATATAATTTCTTATTTTTACCTAATAATTCTTTCATATGCCCCTCCTCTCTTTTTTATTGTCTTCTGAGGCTCCCTTTTTTGTATTTCACCTCAACTCTTAGTTATATGCAGCATACGTCACTCATCAAATCAATCTCTGGCACCCATGAGAGCTCATCCACATAAATATCTTGATTCACACATTTTGCTAGCCAAAGTCACCCATGTATTCCACAGTTGTCCACAACAACACAAATTTCAGACATTTGAAATAGCCTTTAAAAATCTACAATGAAATCACTTTTACTTCCTCATCCCTGCTATCTCATACCAATTCCTAGCTCCTGTCCTCTTTAAGAATGACACCCTCGTCCTGGTAACACAATCATGGGAGTTACAACTCCTAAAGCAGAGGTTGGAAAAACCTCCAGGTAGAGTTGCAAAATGTAAGGTATTTCTCAGGCTGCATTTCTCATCCTCTTTCTGAACTGTCACTTTAATGAGGCACTGTGTCACTGTGGACACCCGGTGTGTGTCTTGCAAAGTGAGTACCTTGCTCATCATGCTGCTCTTAGAGCAAGAGTTTGCGCTTTATGAGACAAGAGCTCACAGTTACTGAATGACACCTAGACCACTCTGAGTGGGAGGTGAGTTCTGACGATAACTACAGCGCCCATTGAATCGGCATTTTTAATCTCTCTCTCTCTCTCTCTGTTTTAATTTTTTTGGCTTTGGGCTTAAGGACTGCTGCTGTCATGAGAGAAGCAGTTGTTGCTTGGCCTAGAACAAGTGATACAGCCTGCTAGGCACAGTCCCCAAAAGTCTAGCTGCAATATTACTGGTGGTTTTTCCCAAACAGCAATAACAAGATGTCACCTGGGAGCACACCAGAGCCAATCATGATTGCTCTCAGATCTGGCCAATCATGATCTGCCCAGATGTTTAGATGTCTGGAAATATATTTAAAATGTCTCATGGCTTGCCTCTTTGGTGTGAGAAATAGTGGACTTCAAGAGCACAAATAACTGGTATGATGGCAAAATCACAAAAGATAAAATTTATATCAGTAACTAATTTGACTTCATTTTAAAAAAGAGCAGTGATGCTGGCTGATATCTGGCACTAACACTGTGGTTTAAATTCACATTGGTCTTACAATGATTTACGTCATTTTCTTTTATTAGAAAGTTTATCCTAATGACTTAATTGCCATTTTTGAATACAGGAATAATTTCAAACATAGTGTTTTTTACAATAAAAAAAAGCCCAACATCCTCAAACTTCAAAATATTCAAACTCAAAACTCCATATTTTAGTGTTTAGCCAAATAACAAGGAGGATAATTTAGCAAGAAAATGGATAAGCACCGTTGAGAATTAAATGTAAGCCTTATTATTGATTAGTGCTTAGTTCTTTTTCACAAAATAGCAATTGATCTGACTATGCGTAGGACCACCTAGTGTCCAAAGAGTAATATCATATATTTGTGTACTGAATCATTAGAAATATTTTTCTATTGAAGTAGAAGTTCTTGGCCATTACAGATCAATTAGCCTTCAGCTCTTCAGAAGGATAGGTGTGGCTGGTTGTGGTTTCTTATACATCTTACATGACTTTTCTTCTAAATAGAAGACACATGGAGAACAAAATCACTCATTGGCTGTTGGTTTGTGAATTAAACTTTTCTTGCCAGGCAAATAAATTGCACTGTGAATTTTTTTTTTTTTTTTTTTTTTTTTTTTACAAATTAACTTCTTTTTTCATACTATAAAATGCCAAGGCAGACTCTCAAGATGTTCACAACCAGAATTAACTCTGTACGGCAAGCGCATCTTCCTCTACCAAGGACAGTTCCAGAGTGTTTTCATTCGTGCTGGTCTTCATCCTGAAGTTGAAAGAACCATAGAGTTTTGCAGACTCTTTGGAAGAGGCAAATCTGTTTCGACGATAGAGCTCCCCCTTCCACATGGACATCATTAGCAAGCAGGACAGTACGACGCCCCCCAGCGTGAGGAGGCAGAGCCCTGCAATCACACAGCGGTCCAGGTGAGCCCCCAGCCTTGCACTCTCCTTCTCCAAGCGCTCCATCTCCCGGGCTGCCACAGTATTGGGGTCCACTGTCACTTCCCGGGGGACGATGTAAGAGATGATCACCAGCAGGATGCCAGTGACCAAGAACAAGATGGCGCTGATGAAACCATAGTCTATTGACTTTCCTGAAGATGTGGCTTCGGAACTTGTATCGTCCTCCTCTTCAGATATCAAAGATATGGCAGCCTCTTGGGACCACTCGTTTGGATTTTCCCAGCCAAGCTCCCCAGGGTGATCATGCCCTTTTACTGATGGTGAGCTCTGGTTCCGCAGCTCCAAGTTGATGTTTTTGTCCACATAGGTAAAAGAAGTTTCTAATTCCTGGCTGCAGCAGTTACAGACTTTCTGTTCTGCTGTTATTTGGTTGTTCCCTGAGTGGAGAGGTCCTGGTGGAAAGGCGTCTGGAAGAAGGGTACTGTTTTGCAGAGAGGAGGAAGGGGATGCTGGAGAAGGACTAAGTTTAGACCCTTCCATTTCAGTTGCTCTTGGGGTGGACTCACACTGTCTCTGACAGCAGAGAGCAGCTCTTGTGGCTGCTGTATCTGCCTGGCCACCAGGAAGCCCTCTTGAACTCCAGTCCCTGGCATCACAGAGGTCTGCCTGGTTGCTCTTCTTAGCAAGGGAGTAGAGCTCCATGAACGCTAGTCAGACATCCCCCAGCAGCTTCCGGAAAGTCTGCCAATAACAACAGAGTTAGATAAGAACCTAACAGAAGCTAAGGCTGTATTTCCAGGAGTGTTCCTCCTGAGAGCACCATTTTCTTCACAGCTGCACCTGTTCAGCCCCTTTTCCACCTCAAACAGGAAAAAGAAGGGAGGGGATACCTAGTGGCAGGAAAGTGTGAAAAGGGCAAATGCTCTCACTTATCATAGTGATTAACACTGAAAAACTTAGGTCAGTGTAGAAAAGGCGCATGGAGGAAATGGCGGTGTCTACTGAGAAAGGATACTGCCATCACCAAGCCAAATTTATCCAAGGACTCACACATTCCTGCAAGAGGATCCCTCAAACGACAAGGCAGGCTTCCTGTAAAAAGACAAATGAGAAAGGCAAGAGCCCTTTTTAGTAGAGCTGCCAATTTTCTGGAGGACTTGGGGAAGCACAGACTTCTTAATTCAATTAGACTGTACGTGTTTACACTCTCCCTAGTTCAGAACAGATTCTAATACAGATTAGCTTTAGAGCATCACCACGAGTGAATGACTATACACCCCTATCAGCTGGGCAGGAACTCAGCATTTTGATTCTGTGGATCTGAAGTAGATAAAAAAGGCCAGCTTAATCAGCCACCTCTGCTAACCTTACATGTCGTACATTCAATGACCCTAGTCACACAGCCCTTTACTTACAAGTCCACATGCTGCTTATTCTCTGTGCTTCTACTCAGCCCTATTCCCTCCTTCCCCCATGGAACACTGCTCCATGGGGGAGCATGTTCGGAACCCCAAAGCATATAGGCAACAGACCTTACTGCAATCCCTGCAAAATACAATGGGCCAACTCACTGTTCCACACACACACCTGCCTGTTGCAGCTGCAGGATCTGTTTCTCCCATTCCATGGGTCTGTGTGGGTCTGTGTTCCTCCCTCTCTGCATGCTTTGCTAACACACATGCACAAGAAATTGATCATCCGAATAGTTTTACAAACCCAATCTAGAAGTAAATTGAAAATAAAAGACAAGCTATAAACCCACAGAGTAAGAGTTCCGTGGAGGCAAATAGGTGAGACGCTATTTCCAAGGTTACCTATGGAATTTTATAAACATGTCACTCTTCATCCCTCATTGCAGCAAGGGGCATTCCTGGAAGAGAACTTTGCTTTGAGCAGAAAACCATCTGCCTATCTTTCTCTGCCTCTGCCATACTTCCAAAGAATAAAAATTCACTTTCCACTATCACTAAATATAGAGATTTTAACCAAAGGCTTTTATTTTACTTCCAAATCCAGGGTGATAATTGATTTAACCCAACGGCTTGAGGCTTCTTATGATTCAAAATCCACAGCTCCAAAGCTGGTAACAGAAGCACAGGCAAGGGTCACCTAAGGTCAACCTGGCAACTCAAAATATGGGAGAGGGAATCGACATGTTTTCTGCTCTACATGAGAGTTTATTTAAAACAAACAAACAAAAAAACCAAACAAAACCCGCTTTTCTTCTATTATCGGAGTTTCTCTACAGTGAAGACAGCAAAAAACACCAAGGGCAAAAGAATCACTAGTAAACTAGAACAAAACCCCCACTGAAGGATCCCTCAATGAATGAAATGATGGTAACAGGCTTCATCAATTACCGAGAACTCTTCTCCCAGTTTTCTCAGGCATTAGGGGCTCTGATTAACCTTTGCCACAATTAAACTCATCACACTAGCCTACTTTGGATAAAATCAGCAGGGTTCTTTGAGACTTTCAATTTATAACAAAACAGGACAGCAATCCCCACTTACTTCCCTACAGCCACCTCTACCTCTCTTTAAAGAAAAGCTACTCTCGCTCGTTCGCTTGTTGTATCGGAGGTACGCTAGCAGCACAGTCCTTTGCAGCTCCCTAATCCGGGGCTTCCATTCTCAGTGGAGAATGGATAATCCCAGGGGACCAGCTAAAGGCTCTTTTCTTCCGTCCTCTCCCTCTTTTTCCTCTGATCTGCTTAAAAGCCCAGTTAAGGACATCGCACCTTAAAGCGAGGGGACAAGCACTTTCCCTCGCCCGTCTGTCATAAATTAACAGCATTAATATTTGCTTTAAACTGACACAGAAAAGGCTGGTCTCGGGGGGGCAACCTCTGGATGCGCCCCGCGCGCGCTGAGCCAGGACAGCGAGCGGCAAGCCCCGGGCAGCGGTGACCCCCCCCGCGCGGTGACCCCACCCCCGGCCCGGGGCCGAGGGAGCGGGGAGATCTTTCTTGGTGAACTGTGCGCCCACCGAGGCACTCGAGATAGGGATGTGTCCGCGAAGCAGGACACCTCGGGCAGGGAGCGGGGAAGTGCGCTCCAGCTCCGCTAGGCTACAGGGCTCTCACTCTCGCACCCAAAAGCCTCCACCCCATCCCATTCTCCGCCGCTCACCTTCTACTTCGGCGACCCGGTGCGGCTGGAGCACCGCGCGTTGTCCCCGCAAGGCTCCCGGAGAAAGTCCCCCAATCACCAGCCGCCGCACTTGTAGCCTCGGCACGCCGCTGGGCTCCGAGGGGTGGGCAGCGCCCGCCTTGGCGGGCGGGGTGGGGCGGGGCGGGGCGCTCCCGGAGCATCCCGGGAGTTGTAGGCCAGGGGCGGTCCCTGTAGCCCTCCTGTCTCTGTCTCCTGCCACGCCTTCTGGGTTTTACCCTTCCTGCAGATGAGTTCCCGCCCTTACTCCTCCTTGGCGCTTGAGAAGACTGCACTGGTTTCTAAGCTCAGAATGGAGTTCCCTAGCCTCAGGTGTGTCCACAAGACTGTGAAAAGGAAAGTATATTTGGCTCCAAATGTGCCAGGTAATTTGCATATTTTGTCTTATTTAATAGTGAAAACAAATCTTCCAAGTAGAATTTATTAATCATCATTTTACGGATGTGGAAACAGGCTCAGAGAGGTTAAGTGCCTTATCCGCAGTTACCAAAGTGCCTTATCCACAGTTACCAAGATAAACAGCAGCTTCTGAAATTGTATCCAGGAGTCAGATTCTAAAGTCAATGCATTTCTCACAAAATTAGAAATGTGAGCATTGAGGGTAAGAGAAATGTGATCATTGAGCGTAAGAGATTGTCCTGTGTGCCACCATATCCCTTGAACTTAGCACAGTGGTTTTCGTTGAATGCATGAATAATAATGACTCAAAGTAACAGTTAACATAAATAACGCTTATTATTGCCAGGCTCTCTTGTAAGTACTGTAAATACATTATCTCATTTAATGTTCACAATTTATTGCTAAAGTGCTGTAAAAACAAAAAAAAAATCCTCATTTTAACAGAAGAGGAAACTGAGTTACAAAGAAGTAGAATAATTTGCCCAATGTCACACAACTAATACTTGGCAGAGGTGGGGGCATGAACACCAACAGATTCTAAGCATTATATTATGTGGAATGAATGGAAGAAACACCAGAAGACTAGAATAAAAAGGGTCAGGAATAAAGGAAATCTGAAGGTTGAAACTCCTGAGTTGTGACTCTCAGGATAGAACAAGGTAATCTTGTTACCAACCTCTTTCAACCAGAGTGGAATGCAACAGCCAACAGCCACTGAAAGCCCAGGGTATGCATAGCTTGTAGATAATCTCCAGCTTTCCAGCATCCCGTTGGGACAACCCTAGGGGAGCAAAACCGGATTATATTATGTATGACATTTTGCTTGTAGCTCACATAAATACTGTGGTTGCTTGCTTTCAAAAGATAGATCGATCTCCTGTAGTGACAATTATGGTGGTATTTCTTTACATTGGATAGAATCTATAGTCTCATGAATACAGCAGTTCACAATCCTGCCGCTTTAAAATCCTTTTCCCCCCATATGATTATGTTTTAGCCAGTGAGGCCCATTTGTTGATAAACATGATAGATGTATTATCACTTCTTTCTCTTTGCTTACTACACAGTTCTCCAGCATGAATATCTTTCTTCCATTGCCCTATTCCATCCACTCTTTGAGGATTAGTTTATCAAGCCAAATCTACAGGGATGCATCCAGTTCTTAGTACTGCATATTCAAAAAGAAAGAAATAGAGCAACTAAGATGATGAAGGAACTTGAATTTATGTTGATGAGGAGATGCTGAAGGTACTTAGGCTATTTAGCTGTAGGAGAGTACTTAGAGGAAGCAATAATAGTTAAACTAAACATTCTAAAGTTTATAAAAGTAGAAGAGGGATTCTATAGCATTTTTAAGAGGGTAAAAGCAAAACTAATGACAATATTACTATTTTTAGTGCTATTATGTTATCTTTAATTTTTACACCAACTTCACAAGGGAGGCAGTAATATTGCACCCACTTTGCAGTGTAGAAATTGAGGTTTGAAAAGACGCAGTTTCTTTCCCAAGGTCTGAAAACCAATATCTGGCAGAGCCAAGGTTCTAACTTGGATCTGTTAGATCCAAGAGACTTCCAGAGACTTGATCTCTTCACCAACGCACTATACTGAGCAATGCTTCACAATCTTCTTTAAAGTGGAGTATACATAACAGGTGATACTATTTATGGACCTGTGATAAACACAAGAGGTTTCTGCTGGTCATGGTTCTGGGGCTGTGGGTACTTCAGTCTCTGCAGGACATCTTGGAGGGCCAGGGAAATAAGTAAGTCAACACACCTGGTGCCAGGGCACCCATCTGAGAAGCTCTGGATAGCACTATTAAATTTAAGAAGGAGGCTGATTTGAAGCTTAGTATAAGGAAGAACATTATTTCTAAAACTTCTAAAATTGATGTCTCATGAAAGCAAATTCTCTGTTACTGATCAGGATTAAAAAAAGAGACAAAGAGCCATTTATTAGTGATGTCATAGAAAGGATTCATCTAGTTGGATTAGAGGACCTCTGTGGTTCCCATGCTGAAGTGATTCTAAGCTATATCTCTTTCATGAAGCCTTTTTCTTCCAAGGATTCCACCTCCTATGAAATTTGCTGGGACTTGTCAGCACTGATGTTTTTGATATTTATCATCCACTGTTTTGCAACATTTCTTGAGTGGCTAGGTATCCACTGCATGCAGTTTAATTTCTGGCTTAGGTGCCTAAATCTTAATGGTAATTAGTTGTAAACTCCTTAAGGTCAGCATCTACATACTTAACACCTTACCTCCTGCAGTATTTCTGCCGAGAGGGAAGATGACAAGACTGAACTGAGACTCGAGCTGATTACCTATCTGTTATTCTCTCTCATTTCCTATTTCTAAATATAATAATACTTGGTTGTCTACATGTTCTTGAAGATTAACAATATCTCAATTCCATGTCAACACTACAAAATCACCTTTAAAGGTCTGCTGACAAAAAAACAGAGCTGAATCAATTGAGTGCTTGGAAAGACAAGCTCTGCAAGAATTGCCACTTGCTGGAATACTTTCCCCCTCTCTCTTGTAAATTTGTGTCTAAAACTCTCCTGAAAATTGACCCAAGAATGTTTTTCAAAAGCCTTTCTTGTTCAACATCCTCAACTTATTGTTACCTCTCTAATTGGCTTTCTAGTAGCATAATACACTTTCTTTTATGCTGTCATTTTAGATATAGAAAAGTATTTCATGTATATTTTATACTGTTTTCAATGTGATCTCTCTTTCCAGATAAAATTTAAGCTCCTTGAGAACCAAGATATTCTATCACTTTAAATCTATATGTGGGTATGAAATACTGTAGTGCAACACATAGGCGACAGTAGTTCCTTAATATATGCTGACAAAACACTTCTTAGAAATCTACATAATGATTTTGGTCTTAGGCTAATTTTAATGTCTCACATTTTCCTGTTTACTTATACTCTGTTTCATGTGGGAGGAGCTATCATTATTATGCTGTTAACCAGTAGAAAAATAAGAAAAATTCTGGGAAGTAAATTTACCATGTAAATCAAGGGTAGTGCTGAGGATTTTAACAACCAGCCTCTTATAATAATTACTGAGGATGTTTTCCAGTTTCTTTTTATTCAATAATAATAAGGGCTAATTAGTGGACTTAGAGTTATTATCAGGAGAGGCTGTGTCCTAGAGAGGTAAGAAAAACATTTTTGGAATAGGCTGGAGGGAAGATCAGTCACTGAATAGGAATAGCATAAGGAATATGGCCCTGTGCCCCATGCTAGTGCTAAGAAAAGAATGAATGTGACCGTAATTCAGAGAATGAAGATCTTGTTAATGAACAAGATTCTAGGAACAAAAAAGTAACATATTAAATTTGAAAGGTTTCCATTTAATAAGAATGCTTACAGTGGCCAAGCAGGCATGTTACTTAAATAAAGTGACTGAATATAGACCATAGGGATGGGGGAAGATCACCCAAGTTAAGAGCAAGTTCTTTTCCGAAAAGGGCAGTATCCCTTTATTGTTCTACCTGAGTTTTGTCTTAAATGAATTTAGACATTAATGGAAGTCAGATATCAGAATTTTTATTCAAAATTCAATATATTTTAAACCCTTAATGGGTCAGAGAAAACAAATTTATTGGAAAGATTTGTCTCCAGTAGTAAGAGGCTAGGTAATTTAGACCTATCTGCTGCTGAGGATAAGTAGAAAATCTTGACAAAATATACAAAGGTCACCTGATTGAAGACATAAAAAGTTAACAAGACAGAAAAAAATTATTGGATTAGGATACAGAGAAGGAGAGAATCTCAGAAAGGCAAGTCAGGAGCTTGGAATTTCTTTTTAGTTGGGGATGTTACATGATCCAGAGAGGGCAGTTTAGAGGCAAAGAGGCTAAGAAGAGCGGGCATTAGGGTCCTGAACCCACCAAGGAAAGTAGCCATAGTGAATCTGCTCCACTCCCCAAACTTTGGGTTGGAATCTTGAAAGGTTGCATCTCAGCAGTGTGAAGCAGGCCCTCACAGGGCATGCATCTCAGTTTATGAAGATCACAATTTCTAATATTTAGCCAGTGTGACTTCAGATGCTGAGATACCAGATACCTGGATGAAGTAGACTCAGTCTCTGAAAACATACAGCATCATCTCAAACCAATTTTACCAATAATTTTGCAAATACACTGATACAATAAAAATAAAACCATGAAAAAGCCAATTTATAAATGTCACATATTGTATTTTGATTCCCTGTAAATATAACATTTTCAAAATGACAAAATTATAGATATGGAGAACAGATTAGTGGTTGCCAGGGGTTAGAGATGGTAGGAGGTAAGAGGGTGGGTATGGCTGTAAAGGGATACCATGAGGGAGATTTTTGTAGTCATGGAAAAGTTCTGTATCTTGAATGGAAAATGCACAAGGAGTATCTAGAAGGCCAATATGTATATAGAAAGAGACACAGAATAATCAGTTGTAGGAGAAATGTAATTTAAAACCACAGTAAAATAGCACATCACATGCACTAGAATGGATGAAGTGGCAAAATAATTGGCAATGTCAAGTTTTGGGAAGGCGTAGAGTTACTAGAATTTTACATACTGGTGGTGGGAATGTAAATTGGTATAATCACTTTGGAACTTTTTTTGCATTAACCACGAAAGTTAACTATCATGCAGTAATTCCACTCCTAGATGTACACTTGACAAAAGTGCACCCATGGGTACCAAGACATGTGTAAGAAAATGTCCACCAACAACATAGAGAATTAAATTGTAGAATACTTATACATTGGCATACTATATAATGAAGGAACTACAGTTGCATGCAACAAAATGGGTGGGTCTCACAAATGTAAGATATAGACAAAATATTTTTGTGTTTATGGGGCTTTCTCAGCAAATTTGGCTGAAACTTGGGATCTTGAAACCTGGGCTAAGAGCAAGCATAGAAAGTGAGTTAACATCCACAAAATTAATGAGGG